AAATTCGTCTGGTACCATGTAAACGCAGCCTTGTAGTTATGTATTGATACGTTTGGTTACTATTTGTCGTCGGGTGGTGCAGCAGCGTCTGTTTTTTCTGTGAGAGGGTGGGATTCATCGTCTGGTCCAGGCTTGACTCCATTGACGGAGTAATATTCGTACTTATAGAAGTAAGACATGATCATAAAGATGATCAAAACTATTGCCAACAAACCGGAGAAGAAGAAAAACTCGTTCGCCTGAAATGTAATGGAAAAAAGAAATAAGGAGAGCCTAGTACATTCAACACTCCCTTGCCATCCTTTAAGAGCACCGTCACATTTTCCTTCTAAAACACGCACTGTTCGTGAGTTAACTTGCGAAACTACAGTTTTCAAATACGTCAAATAATAAAAATGATGACTCTTTTTTATCAAGAGATAACTAGCTAAAAACTAGTGTGAGCTGCGTCGGTGTTTCTAATGAAACAGTAATGATAAAAAGGTAAATTATACACCGTGAAAAGATGAAAAAACTTGCTGACGTTTCGGACGCTAGTCCTTCGTCGGAGTAAAAGAGCAAACATTTACACACAATTACATGCACACAGTTTTTTCATCTTTTCACGGTGTATAATTTACCTTTTCATCATTACTCTTTTTTATTGTACGTTGAGATATAATATGTGGAGTCGTTGCCGAGCCTCCCTCCCTCCCCAGAGGCTGATGTTCAGTTAAATACGTATGACACACTACAAACTCACTACAACACACAGCTCCCTCCTCATATCCCCTAGAGCGCCACTACGCAGGCTAGCTGTTTAACGGATATATATTTTACACTCTTATAGACCCTTTCACGGTTTCCGACGCCATATTGCTTGGAGGGAGGGGAGGGGGGTGGGGCAAGATTACTAAGAAGCGACGGGGAAAGAGATACGTTTTTCGTTATAATTCCATTCTGAGGTAAATTTTCGAGACCAAACTTTGTCTGGAGATGGAGAATCCTCTGTTCAATGTTTTGTGACGTTTTTGAGCCGATCGATCATTCTTGTCGAGGCAAGATTTTTTTAATGGTCAAATTGAACCAGTATGATCGAGTCTTCCGTCTCTCTGAGAACCAGTGTTATGCTGGCTCYATCGGCTCAAAAACAGCACACAAAACATTGAACAGAGGATTCTCCGTCTACAGAAAAAGTTTGGTCTCGAAAATTTACCTCASAATGGAAATATAACGAAAAACATATATCTTTCCCTGTCGCTTCTTAGTAAACTTGCCCCCCAAGCAATATGGAAGTAAGAAACCGTGAAAGGGTCTATTCTTAGAAGACAACTTTGTACAAATGCCCCGAAAAATATCGTGACTCTTTTAACGAGCCACCAACTGATACCATACGTCATTAATACCCGACACAGGTGTCTTTTAGACAAGTTAATAAACATGAACGTTGTATACGAATATACGACACAAGAAACACTAGAGTGCAAACAATATAACCGTGAAACTTTAGTGATACTAAATAGTGCAATTTTATGCAAATTCCATTGTTTAATTAGCACTATTTTGTACTATTTAGTAATTAGTGTTTCACGGATTAATTGTTTGCACTCTACACGAACTAAACAACACGTTTTTGTAGATTGTCAAAAGTATACAAAATAAAATAAAATAATAAAAATCCACAATTTGATAGGGTAACCAGAAGTAGACAGAATAATTTTTTATCTAGACCCTTTCTAGATCGAATTAGAATTTAGAAGTTGATTTTTACGGAGGAAGGAAAAGAGGAGCACAACAACCCTCGAAGCACACGAGAAAAACGACAAACAACTCTACTCACACACGACGAGTCTGAGAATCGAACCCTGGTCGCATTGATGAGAGGCGCTCTCACCGCTACGTCACCCAAAGTGTTCAATTTAAGAGTAAACTGAATGAATTCATTTCTGAAAASCTTTTAGGTGTTGGTTTTCTCCACGATTTTGGACGTTGCGTTTCTGCTATTATGGTTTCTGGTTTTTGTCCTAAATAACTTCGAAATATCAAAATTCAACGGAAAATAAGTGAATATAGTTTATAAGTTAATTTTATTTAGAGCCGAAATGGCATCACTATTTCAGATGATGTTATTTATACAGCGGCCAAATATACTCATCCACGGGAAAAAAAACCCTGGATTATCTTACCTAAATAAAACTTTTTTTTTAAACATAGTTCATCTATTTATTTTTAAATAGGCTCCTTAGCCAAGCTGTGTTAAAGGATAGGTTTAGGGCTTATGACAAGGCAATATTAGTTCATCTTTGCTGCTTGAAAACCTCGTTTACAAGCTTTCGTCGAGAAGCAGTCAAGGCCAGGACTCGAACTTAAACCTTTTGGTCCACTGACAATTTAACATTTAAATTTCTGTTTCCTAATAAAAAATTGGTCAGACACGGAAAACATTTAAATTGAAATGTTATAGTAGATTCTCACTAGTTTTTCACTAAAGCATTAGCACTTTGCTATTTCACGGTTGCTAGTGTTAATTTTGAGCCCTGACTGGGCGGAATTGCTCAGAGATGGAAATAGARTTTGGAAGTTTTTTTTCGAGCGGAGGGAGCATAGTTAATGGAGCGGAATGGTTTGGAAACTCCATAGAACAAAGCTACTGTTTTGCGTTTGATGTTGAGCCGTACCATCACGTGATGATACTGACCGTGCACAATGAACCAAAGCCAAGTATGGCTGAAAATACTCATTTCCTTATCATTTTCATGTATGAACATTTTGAAAATGAAAACTTTCATCGGATGACCACAAACCATGCGAAAAAATATTTCCGTGCAGATACAGTTAAGTTACTAGATGATAAATAAGAAAGCATGAAAAAAGGCAATTTCCTTTTCAATAAACAATTGATATTAATCATGCATATAGCATTAATTAACAAATAATAACTATTTAAGAACGTTTTTTAGGGAAAAAACTTCTATATTCCCAAATACTGTGAACAAACGAAGCAAATTTTCCTTCTCTGTGCACGGTCAACTTCATATAACAATGGATAAAGTCGAACAAAAACCTAGAGCAATAGGTTTCCCATCCATTCCGCTCCATTATGGAGGGAGGAAAACCGGGAAAAAACCTTCAAAACATAACCACGGATAAACCAACCACGGATAAAGTAACGACTAGAGCGCCGTATCACTCGTGCTTACCGAGATCTTACTTCTTTATTTCTTTTTTATTCCTTTTTTTATCGCGTGGTGTTCAATTTATACTTATATCGTTAACATCACTTACTCTTAGAAAGTAAGGTATTTCACATCTGTCACACTGATATCTTTCTTTGGTAAATGTATACTATGGAAAACTCTCTATAAGGGACTGAACCGAGTACTGAATAAARGGCCGTCTCCCACAGAAACAAGGCACGAAATTAACGCTCGCAAATTCACAAAATGCGAGTGAAWTTTTTGTATTTARCGAGTAATAAAAAAATTATAACTAGCTAAGTTTCGCGAGTATGGTAACAGTGCAAAAATTTATGATGAATAACCGTGACATAAATGACATAATGGTGTGTTTAGATGAGCGTTGCACAGCCGATGTAAACAATTATTCATGTCACCCMCCACAATTGTATTCAATATCGCTTTTTTTTTTGCAATCATAAAGGAATACCAATAATAGTTCTCAGTCAGCGATGAAAACTGTCTAACAAAGCTATAGGTTAGTTCCTTTCAACTATCCGTAGGGTCGAATGCATAATGTTGAACGTTGATGACTAAGCAAAACAGGACAAGAAATTCACCAGAAATATAAACATGTAAACCAAGTTTGTGAAAACAAGTGTCTTTTTGTAGTGAATCATATGGACCACACGTAAAAGATATTCATGCAGTTTAATGCGACGGACACTGAACACAATATAAATCTCTTATCGAAGGTTCGCTCCACCACTACACTCTATATATTTACACGTACAACAATCAATTCACATGTTAATTTTTATGGAGTACCCGGAGGAAAACCCTCGCGGCAAAGAAGCGAACAGCACATCAAAAAATCTCGAATCACATATGTAGCTCAGCATAGGAATTGAGCCCGCAACCCCAGGCGTGAACAACACAGCGGTAAGAGACAGCGCTGCAGCAGCGCATGCCAAGACTTCCCTCTTATCAAAATTAAATTTTATGTTATTAAACTGCAATGTGAATGGCTGACAGGGGAGTGTAGCTTGCGCAGCTGCGTGTAGGGAGGTTGTGCCTGACCAGGAAGGGGGAGGGGGGGAATTGACTCCAGCATCTTCACTCCCCATGCTAAAGTTCAATGCAGGCCATCAAACAGAGAAAAAAATAGAGTAGAAATTTGATTAGCTGACTGTTCCCCCTAA